CATTGGAATTCCAGAACAGGAAGAGAAAAATAAAACCACTGAGAAAGTTGTCCAAGATTTGGTGGATGAGAACTTCCCTGATATGATGAAAGATGAAAATATATCTATTCAGGAAGTCCAGTGAACCCCAAACAGAATAGACCCCAAAAGAAAATCACCAAGACATATCATCATCAAACTTATCAATACCAAAGACAATGAAACAATCCTGAAAGCAGCATTTGGTCTGTTGATCTTTGACAAAGGGGCAAAATCCATTAAATGGGGAAGAGACTGTCTGCTTAACACATGGTTCTGGCAAAACTGGATATCTATATGCAGAAAAATGAAACAAGATCTGTACCTCACACCATACAGAAAAACTAACTCCAGATGGATCAAAGACTTAAATGTGAAACCTAAAACTACAAAGTTCCTCAAGAAAAAACTAGGGGCAAATTTAGGGGCCCTAATACATGGCATAAATAGAGTATCAAGCATAACCCAAAATGCACAAACAGCAGAAGAGAAACTAGATGAATGGAACCTTCTAAAAATTAAATTTTTATGTCCTTCCAAAGACTTCTCCAAAAGAGTCAAAAGAGAACCTACAGATTGGGAAAAAAAAATAGTTGGCAATGACATATCTGAAAAGGGACTTATCTCTAGATAAGAAAACTCTGACACCTCAACAACAAAAAGACAAATAAACCAATTAAAAAATGGGAAGAAAACATGAATACACACTTCACCAAGGAGAATATTCAGGTGGCCAACAAACATATGAAGAAACACTCGTGATCGTTAGCCATTAGTGAGATGCAAATCAAAACAACAACGAAATACCATCTTGCCCCAGCACTCAGCAAAGTTCAACAAGACAGAAAATAACAAATGCTGGCAAGGATGCAGAGAGATTGGGACTCTCATACACTGCTAGTGGGACTGTAAAATGGCACAACCATTGTGGAAAGCAGTATGGCAAGTCCTCAAAAAGCTGGAATTAGAAATACCATTTGACCCAGCCATTCCATTACTAGGTATATATCCTAAAGAAGTGATAGCCAGGACAAGAAGAGATCTATGCACATCCATGTTCATTGCAGCACTATTTACAATAGTCAAAAGATGGAAACAACCTAGGTGTCTGTCAACTGAAGAATGGATAATCAATCTATGGTACTTACACACAATGGAATACTATGCAGCCCTAAAGAATAATGAAGAATCTGCAAAACACTGCATAACATGGATGAACTTGGAGGACATTAT